ACCCTTCAGTAATTCCATCAACAATTAACAATAGCCCTGCTGCCACTAGAGGGAGTGCTGGGATAGATTTAACTATCCAACAAGAAGTGTGTTTCAAATTTCCAGGAGAAATACAAATAATTCCTTCACAACTTTCTGGACCTCTCCCTTCTGGATATGTTGGATTAATTTTGCCTCGATCTAGCATGGGAAAAAAGGGAATTTTTGTAATACCTGGAGTAATTGATTCTGACTATACAGGTGTCATCTTTATTCAATTATGGACTAACATGCCACAGACTTTGCCAAGTAATACTAGTCCTGCACAATTACTCCATTTGCCCTATTTTGTCCCTGCAGGGGGTCGTGATAGGGATTGAGGGGACGGCAGGTTTGGTTCCACAGATCCTGTTGTAATTGCATTAACCACCCCAATCACCACCCAGAGACCCCGTCAGACAGTCTTTTTTCAGGATAAGCCTTTTGAGGGCATAATTGATACAGGGGCTGATGTTTCAGTAATTTCAGCTAAAGATTGGCCTGCATCTTGGCCCACTGACCCATGCCCTAGTGTCTGGGGTATAGGAGGGCGACAAGGTGCACGACAAAGTACACAATTTCTTTCTGCAAGTCTTCCTAATTCTACTGTAACTGTTCAACTTCGTCCTTTCATTCTTGACATTCATATCAACCTTTGGGGACAAGACTTGCTTAGTAAATGGGGGGCTACCGTCACCTTCGATGAATAAAGTGTCTGCCTTACCCTTAACTTGGTTAACTACTACCCCTGTTCGGGTGGAACAATGGCCTCTTCCTCTGTACAAATTACAGGCCTTAAAAATTCTTGTTCAAGAACAATTACAAGCCAAACACATTGCCCCTTCCACTAGTCCATGGAACACTCCAGTTTTTGTTATCAAAAAGTAGTGAGAAGTTTGTAACAAAAAATTTTCCTGTCTCTTTTTTTTTCAACTGGCTGTGTTGCTTTAAGAGCAAGAGAGACCAAAAGAAAGAAGGGGGGGGGGAACTGTTCATTTTAAACTTTGTTTTTTCCCTCTCTGCTTAGAATTCCAGTTTGCGAACGGAGATGAAATTTAATCCCTGCTCTTGCAGTTTCAGCTAGCAAAACTTAAGTTTTGTAAATATTTAACCTACTTAATAGAAATTTGTTTCCATCTTTGATTAACTTGGAATTTAACTTATTGACCAAAGGAAAACAACATAGGAATTGTCACTTAACACTTTTGATATTTCTTACTAGTAAAATACTTACAGGAATATTTACTGTGTCAGAAGCGCAAAAAAGTATATTGTATTGAATGGCTTTACTTATCCCATCCCAAAATGTTTTATCTTTTATCCAGGCTGTTGCTGAAATAACCTCAGGACACAATCAAGCTTGTCCTTGAAATGGGACTGATTTAATTAATATTGTTCTTCTTATCCCAAAATTTGATTTTCAATTTTATTTTCAGAATAACTTATCTCTTCAATGCTGAATATATAGGCTGTATTTCATATCATTTGTCTACACTGCAGTGCAATCCCCATCACAACGCTCAGAATTATCTGCTGCTATTTTAGCTTTCCACACCTTTTCTCAACAGACTTTTAACCTAATCTCTGATTCTCATTATGTGTGCCAACTTATTTTTAATTTTACAGGTGCTTACATCATGCCCAGGATCAACTCCAATCTTATGGCTTTGTTTTTAACTTTACAGCAGCTATCCTTTGTTTCTCACATATGTATCAGTCCTTTAAGGACTACCTTCATAAACAATTAAAAAAGGAGGGATCCTTCATAAACAATTAAAAAAGGAGGGATAATTTGCATCAAGTCAATAAAGTCTTAATAACTTTAAACCAGCTAAATATTTCTTTTCAAAACACTACTGCCTACCAGCGTCACTTTCAACAGAAAGCTGTGCTTCCTAATCCATTGGTATATTATCAGCAATTGCCTGATAAAACCTGGTTAGATCCAATTCCAGTACTAACTTGGGGGCGAGGCTATGCTCTGTGCTTGCTCCTACAGGCCCTCTCTGGATTCCAGCCCAGTGTGTGCAACCAGCCAAAGATGTCATGGCATCAAGTCCAGAACCCAATACTGAAAATGAAGCAGGTGACTCTTCAGACAGCACAACATCCCTTTTGCTCTTGCCATCGCAGTTGACCAACAACCTGGGACAATGTGAAGAACCTAACATCCAAAGCGCAGGAGGTTCTGAGGCAACAGGAAAAAGAACCTACACCAGAGAATTTATGCGCTGCCATATTTGTGGTTTTGACTGCAAATTCCTTAGTCATTCTTTGCCTCTCTTTCCTCTTAATTGCTGTGTGGGGGCTCAAGCTCTTCCACCTCATCCTTTAGAATCACGGATGAAATATAATATCTGGGTGCAATTAGTTAAATGTAACACAAGTGACAGACTTTTGTATTTCTGAATCATATGACATGGAAAATCTACTCTCTACCTGTCTTATACCTGTGTATGTCCCAGCTTCAGTTTTATGTGTTATTTCAATGTTTCTGAGCAATCTGGCATTATTCAAAAGCAAATTAATGTTTTATATAATTTGGCTTTGGATTTAAAAATTGATACCTTAGGAAATTGGTGGAGTGCTCTATGGTCATGGCTTTCCATTGGCCTTCTTGGAAAGATTGTTCAATATCTCATTATAATAGTTGCTATCCTTATCAGCTGTTGTTGTTTATTTCAATGTCTTTTTTCTTTACTTAAAAAGATGTCTTGCAATCTTCCATACTAAGCTAAGACCCACTAACTACTCCTGCTTGGAATGTCTTCATTAATAAAATAGAAAAAAGTGAGATGTGGAGGAATTTGCACATGCAGCAAACTGCCATGCATTGCCCCCCACAAACCTCATAACCTTTTGATACCCTTTGTCCCAAGGAAGCAGCCAAAAGATCACCCCCTTTTGACTTAATATCTTACCTACCTAAATAATAAGTTCCCCCTTATCTCTTCCTGTCTTTATCTCTTCTTGTCTTTATCAGTTCTTTCTCCTTTTCTAATTTACCTGTATTTGTTTTTACCTGCTCTCAACAGGTAATGTGTTACTAGAAAATAATTGCTTATATGAAGGAATTTTTCAATTACTTTATGTCAACAACTAAAGGTTAAACTTCTAAATGTAAAATGTCAGCAGTTAATGGTAAAGCCTATGTATGTAAAAAGTATATAAGAAACAATAAACTCAGAGTTTGTCAAGCTGTGTGAAGATGTGTCATGCAGCTTCAAACTTCTGCTCAAGACATGCCTGAGTCTTTTTCTTAGCATCGTTACAGCTGCTATCAGAGCTTGCGCAAGTCTATTAGGCTGCTGCCGCCACCTGGAGCAGCAGCCCCACCCAGCACAAAGGAGGCAAAGCGGCCAGCTAGCAAGCTCGAGTAGCGGTGGTAGAGCACGCCCACGCCCAGCAAGCCAAAGGCCACCCCGAGCAGGGAAAGCCGGATCCCCATCGGCGCCATGGCCCCCCAGTCCCAGCTAGGATTGCGTGCCTCCCTCCCATCTATGCTGGGCCTCCTGCCCACGCCCCACCTGCCAGAGATCCCCTGGATCTCCCCCCAACCCTGCCCAGCCCCCACAGGCGTCCCCCCGAGCAACATCGAGGTAGCCATGCCCACCCCAGCCACACCTACCCAGTCTGCCGTGACAACCGCAGCCATGCCCACCCAGTGCCATGTCCCCCATGCCCCCCTGAGCGCACCACAATGTTCATGCGGCCCTGGCACTTTGTGATAAATAAGTGGGTTTTGGGTTGTGGTTGGGCACTCGGTCTCTAAAAGGTTCGCCATCACTGGTATAGGGTTTGCTGCTTGAGCAGGGGGTTGGACTAGAAGACTTCCAAGGTCCCTTCCAACTCAGGAATGCTGGGAGTTGAAGTCCACGAGTCATAAAAGAGCCAAGGTTGCCTACCCCTGACCTAGTTGTTCCTGCCTGGTCTACCTAATAACTGACACCCTGGAACACCATCCAAGAAGATTAGATTAGCCCCAGCCTAGTGGCCTTTCATATGGTTTAGAACGGGGGTCCCCAACCTTTAGGCTGCGGACTGCTACTAGGCTGTAGTCCATGGGGAGCTGGGCCTCCGAAGCGGAGGGCAAGCATGTGAAGGTTGGTTTGTGCACGTGTGGGATGTAGGTTGCGCCCGTGAAACCATTCTCCCTCTGTTGTCAAAACTGTCAAAGCTGCTGCTAGTCCATGGAACCTGGGAGTTGAAGTCCACAAGTCTTAAGGTTGAGGACCCCTGGACTAGTGAATAAAATGACGGCCACTGCTGCAGGCTGGGAACCCACCAGCGGCTCAGAATTGTTCTTTAGGCCAGGGGGAAGATTTTCCTAGTGCCAAGAGCCCTTTCCTAAGGGAGCAGGTGGGCTTCCTTTGCTGGGTTGCCTTCAGGAGAGGCTGGGGGTCCCTATTGAACCCCGGTGGAAATGGGTTCCTCCTGCACTGGGCAAAGTCAGATGTTTTAAAGGTGGCTATAGCCCCTCCCGAAGGACCGGAGTGAAGGCGCCTCGTTTCAAGGTTCTTGGAAACGATAGCCAAACATTCTCACGTTTTAATATCCTATTTGATTTTTTTTTTAATGTGCGTTCCATACAGAAAAGAAGAGCAAGAAATAAAGGCCATCAAACTTTCCACTTGAGTTTTTTTACACTAACGGGTGAAAAAAATTAATAATAAAATGTGCAGTTTAACTAGCCGGAGACTCGCCGGGCCCACCGCACGCCGGGACCCGAACCCTCTTCTGGCTGCTCGGGAGCTTCGGCCCCTGGTGCGGCCGCTTTTAAGCGAGGGGCTTAGGGGGCGTCGCAGGGCAGCCGGGGACGGTCTTGGCCCTCGCCCCCGAGAGCCCCCTTCCCGCCCCCGGGGCTCCGTGCTATGCCGGCCCGCGCCCTTCCAGCGCCTACCGGCGTCGGCGGCAGAGGTCCGGGGCCCCCTCGCCGCCGCCCCTCGCGCCGATCCTTCTGACGCCGCCGCGGCTAAGAGGATTCTGGCCTCGAAGGGGCGGCCCCGCCGGCTATAAGAAGAGGGCCCGCCGGAGGTGCCCGAGGAGCGGCGGAGCGGCGCGTGGCAGGTAAGGCGGCGCCGGCGGCGGTTTCTCGCCTCGCAAGGCCTCCCGCCACCCTCCCGAGGAGCTCGGCTCTCTAACGCGGAGCCTTCTCGGGTCCTTCGGGGCGGGCGAGGCGCCTCTCCGCTCGGGCTCGCCCGACCGACGGACGGGCCTCTTGGCGGGGGCTGAGCTGGGTGTGGGTGGGGGAAGGCAACCACCCCTGCAACGCTTCCCCCAGAAACCCTCGTCCACCGCGGCTTGCAAGGACGCCCTTGCCGTCGGGCAAAGATCCAGCGCGGGTTTATTCGGAGAAGGGTCGGTTTTGCGAGCTCCCTGCCCCGGAGCTTTAGAATAAATTCGGCAGCCAAATCTTAGTTCTGTGGAATTGCAATCTGTAAACAGGCATCTGCAAGAAATTTAAATGTTTTTCCTCCCCCCCCCCCCAAGGAAGTTTCCGTAGACTTAGGAATTTCTGTAGTATAGAAATGTTTCAAATGTTAAGGATCACTATGACTAAAAACATTTAAGATAATTTTTATTAATAACTATATGCCTACATGGAAGAAATAAACAAAGAATTGAAAATCTGGACCAAAATTATCCCAAGATTGTGGGTGTCAAAATGTAAATCCTTACAAGGCTCAATTTTTTAATTTTAATACCTCCTAGTGGAAATTCCAGCACAGGTTTTAAGATTCCCCCCTCACCCTCCCAAAGAGTGTTTTGCTTTCATACAAAAACAAAACAAAACAAAAAATCCTCCACACTTTAGAATTAATTAAAAAATATATATATAGACCTCCAGAAACAGGGAAGCTTTTAAATTAAATACCCCAGTTTAAAAAAAAGACACGGATAAACTGAATCAAATCCAGAATTAGGATGAAGAAAGTACTGGAAACCATAGAGGTCCAGTGAGGAATGGTGAAAAGACTCAGATATATTCACCTTCCAGAAGAGAAGGCTAAAAGGGGGCACTGTGGCTGTTTTCAAGGATCTGAAAAGCTGTCATATTGTAGAGAGTTCAGTCTGATTCTCACTTGCTCCGCAGGACTAGAAACTTGACCGATGTAGAGATTGGACCTGAGGAAGAAGCTCTTTTAGTTAATAGAAAAGACTTCATTGCAATCCAGTGAGGTTAGCTATCCTCTCCTGAGACTTTTCCCAGGTTTTGTCCTTCCTGCATTGGACGAGGATGAGGATACTAAATGAAGGGGCATCGTTTCCCTTGTGCTGCTGCACGCCCCCTCCTCTCTTTTCCTTCATCCTCCCTGGAGAGCTGCAGCCACAGTGGCCTGTCTGCCTGGGGAAGCCTCCTGTTGGGCCTCCCTTTTGTTGGGCTGCCCCAGGGCCCTGGCAGCCGAGCCTGCCTGCTCTGCCCCCCTGGGAAGGGGTAATCTCTGCTGTGGCTCCTTTTCTTTCTTGGAAAGCCCATTTTGAAATGTGGGCTTGCTGGCCAATTTCATTACTCCACAACAGTGGTGGCGAACCTGTGGCACGGATGCCAGAGGCGGCACTCAGAGCCCTCTCTGTGGGCACACATGCCGTTGCCCCAGCCTTGCCCCCCGCGACCCCCTCCTCTCCAGCAGCCCCCCTGAAGGAGAGTCGCCGTTGAGCGTGGCCCACACGGAGCAGCACAGCCAGGGACATGGCAGCCAGGCAGCGTGGACAAGACTCTGCCCTCACACCCCATCATGCAGTTGATGCTGCAGGGCGTGGGCAGAGGGTGTGGCCGCCATAGCGCTGCTGGTCTGCCTGGGTGATCTGTGGCGGGTCCTGCAGGCGGTGAGTGGTCCTGTGGGCAGGCAGGGTGGGGGATGGGGGGCAGAGCAGGGGCAGGGCAGGGGGTGGAGTGGGGATGGGGCCAGTTTTTGGGCACTCGGTCTCTAAAAGGTTCGCCATCACTGCTCTACAACTTCCACTTGAGTCGCCTCAACAGGGCTATTAGACATGGGCTGCAAAATTCAGGACAGCCATTAGATGGCAGAAGAGGGTTTCTTCTATTGTTGCCCTTTAGACATCAGGAGTTTTGCAGCTGGAAGCGGCAGTCTGTTCTTTGAAGCAAACACATCTGTTGCCCGTGCTTAAGTGAATCACAAAGTCCGTCCTTCTTCCTTGCTTTCCTTCTGGTGTGGTCAGAGGTGATCAGCCCGATTCCCTGGTTGGCCCATAAGGAGCGGAGTCATCCGGGTTTGTTCATTAAATCTGTTGGCAGAAAGAGCCAGGGAAGTAGCTGAGCAACCCCCTCCCCAAAAAAAAGCACTTTGGATCATTTAGTATTCTATGGAAATGCTCCCACTAAATTTTTTTTTTAAAATAAAAGTTGTAGTGTGTAACTTATACTCCTTATTTCCTCCATTAATGCAGAAAACCATAATTTCCAATTTCTACCTGTTTCTCAATTAGTAAACAGCATTCAAACCAATGGGTTCCCATGCTTGTTCTACTCACTTTGTACAGAAAGATCCCTCCCAGCTAATCTGACTTGGTTGAGTTGGAGATTGTAAACTTAAGTCACTGAGCAAATCCCTGCTAAACTTACTGAAAACCAGCTAATCGAAACTGAATGATGTGTATAGCTTAGCACTAAGAAATAAGATTAAGTAGCTAAAAATATTTTAGATAGAAGGTTATAGTGAAGAGTGAGCTGAGAACATTTTCTTGGAAGCCAGCCATTTTGGTTTAACAATTCCTCCTGAAGTAATGGCAGCTGCGGCACACCATGGTTTGCCCACTTCCAGGACTTCAGGTCTTCTGGAGAGGCAAATTGGTTCCCGTGTAAACCATGATAGGGAACTCCTAATTGTAAGACGCTAAGAAAAAGACACAGGCATCTCTTGAGCAGAGGTTTGAAGCTGCAGGACACAGCTTGACAAACTCTGAGTTTATTGCTTCTTTGATGTAACAAGCAATACTTGTTACATACATAGGCTTTACCATTAAATGCTGACAAAGGTTTCTTCATTGGAAAATGTCTTCATGTAAGCAACTATTTCCTAGTAACATATTACATGGTCAAAGATCAGGTAAAAACAAATACAGTAGATCAAAAGGAGAAAGAACTGACAAAGGCAGGAAGAGATAGGAAGTAACTTAAGCATATTATCTATTTAGGTAGGTGAGGCATTAAGTCAAAAGGGGATGACCTTCTGGCTGCTTCATTAGGACAAAGGGTATCAAAAGGTTATGAGGTTCGTGGGGGGAAAGCATGGCAGTTTGCTGCGCGTGCATTTTTCCCCACACCTAATGGCGCAGTTCTTCTCAACATCCCCATCCTAAATAGTTGGGTCTCTGATCCTAAACTCCGAATTGGGTTTCATAACTGGAACAGTTTTGAATCCATAACCACCAAGACACACTTAATTGGAGAGGGGAGATACAGTTTGACAATGATTGTTACACCAATGTTGTATTGTTAACTGCGTGAATATCACTGTGCAAGCCAAAGGAGCTGGCTAGCCTCTTCTACAGCTGCAGACCCCGGGCTGTTGCCCCTGCCACCTCTGTGAAAAATCTGCCATATAGATGTCCCGTTGCCCAAAGATTCTTCTAGAAATGAGGAGGAAGCTTGTGGCCCTGTCAGTGTGTGGCTCAAAAACACCCCCAGCATTTTCTAACCAGAGCAGGAGCTCCAGGGAGCCCCTGTAGAAGAGTCTGCCCCAAGAAACCTGCTTCGGATGTGTGGGGCCTTTGTGGGGAGGGCTGTCTGGCTGGGATGGGCGCCCACCATTGCACTGCTGGACTACCGCCTGCTTTTCTCGTCTCTTGCAGGAATTCTGCTTCCAGTCCCCAAAGATGGCTGCCGGACCAAAGTAGGTCTGGCTTGGCTTCCCTGCGGTCTGTGAGGAGGGAGCGCCTCGTTTCACTGCCTCACCCCAGCCCAGTGAAAAGGCCCCCTAGAAGCCTTCCTGGAGGGGTGGTGGGGCTTCTCTTCAGCCTGACTCTCCTAGACTAGGCCCTTTTTCCTTGCGCCTGAGGCAGCTGGAGCCTGCAGACTCCCCCCGTCCTGATTGGTTGCTAAGATGGTACCCTTTGGGTTTCCCTGCTCACATTCCGTAGGGCAGGAAGATAATGCCCCCCCTTTTCTCCATCCGCTCAGCTTCATTTCATAATTTGGTAAGGTTTCAATTATAGTACAATTTTCAGTGAAATTGTTCAACAGTTTTAGCAACAATTAGAATGGTGGAGTCCTCGGTAGTCTCTGAACTTGGTTGAGTGTGGGGTTTGCTTCTTGCTCAGTCGCTTGCCCAGCAGGTGTCAAGGGGGTGTGGTTTTCTCCTGGGTAGTTGTTTGGTTAGGGTATTGTTTTCTGTGTGTGATGGTCTGGTATTAATCCCTGCTTATCTGGGTGTCAGCTGCCGGAGAGGATGTGTTCTATATTTTTGTTTGTGTTTTTTTAATTGTGAATGGTATGGTTTATCTTTACAGGTCTATTCATGGCTGATGCATCTGAATGGCAAAAAATCCTCAGCATTCTTTGCCATTTGGCCTGGTTTGAGATGCTCACAGTTTCCCAGTTGAAACTCTGGTTGCGTCTATGCACTGTGACTGAGACTGTGGTTGAGACTGAGGAGTTTTTATTGCGTCCTTTGACTGCTGGTTGGTGTCCATAGATGCGCTCTGCAAGTCTTCTGCCCATCTTCCCCAAATAGTGGCTGTTGCAGTCCTTGTGCTTTATGTCTGCCATCCAGACAAATAAGCCATTACCTAGCCAGGACATGAAAAATCTACCAACGAAGTTCAGAGACCACCAAGGACTCCACAGTTCAGATATTCTGTTCCATTTGAACAATTAGAATGGATTGCTATGTCACAGGAAAAGTGGCTTATATATTTTATAAATAAATATTTTAATTACAATCCCTTTTTTGTAAAAAACTAAATAAATTTATGAACATTGGGGAGCAGAAAATTAAGGTTGGAGATGAAAGCGCCCAGGAAGATATGGGTTATTGCCATGATGATAAGCAATGATAAGCAAGAGCTGTGACTGCTTCAACCCTGCCCCCCCCCCCCGATTGACAGATCCACCCCCAGAATCAAAAGATTCCCCCTGAGCAGCATCTCTCCTGATGGAGCCCAGAATCTCAGCGAGGAGCAGTGGGAGATCTCTCAGCCTTTCTTCTAGAGATTTTTTTTTAAAAATGGGGGGAGGGATATCTTTTAAAATTCAAGATTTTGGAACTGGGGAAAGGAGCTAAAGTGATATTGCTCCTAAAGCTCAGATTTAAATCTGTGATCTTTGAGACTCTGGAAAAATCCAGGAGAAGCCTTTTGGATAGAGGAATCTGCTATTAGACCTTTGATGTAAATCATAGCCTCCTGCTTGTAGTCTGTAGTCTATACTATTCCTACTGTTTATGTTCTCTGTAGCTGTTCAGGAATGCCTCATGGGCACATTTTTAACAAATGCATTTAAAATTTTTTAACTATTTTGTGCCACCTTGAGTATTACACCATATATAATATATTGCCCAGCCTCTGAAATTTCTTCTCCCATTTGTTCCTCTCTCTCTTTCTTGGCAGAGTATTTAAGAAGACTTGTTCCAATGAGAAGGTAAGATCCTGGTTTGCTGTAAACACATCATAAGGAGGCTAACTTCTGGCTAATTGGCATCTTGTGGCAGTCAGGGTCTTAGTAAGAATAGAATAGAGCTAGAAGGGACCTTGGAGGTCTTCTAGTTCAGCCCCCTGCTCAAGCAGGAAAACCTATACCATTTCAGACAAGTGACTGTCTAGCCTCTTCTTAAAAATCTCCAGTGATGGAGTGCCCACGATTTCTGGAGGCAAGCTGGTTAATTGTCCTCCCTGTTGGGAAGTTTCTCCTCAATTCCAGGTTGCTTCTCTCCTTGATCACTTTCCAACTGTTGTTTCCTGCCCTGCCCCCTGGTGCGTTGGTGAATAATGTGACCCCCTCAAGAGAAGGGAGAGTGGAGAGGATCCTTCAGGGGAGCAGAGTGCCAACGTTGCACTGGCCCTGCTGGATGGGAGATTGACATTCAAGGGAAATTGAACCCCAGACCGGAGGCTGAGTTTTAAGGGCCCAGCCTTGGATGGGACAGTTCAGTTGGGTTGATTCTAACACATCCAGGCCGTTGCAGGAATTGGCCCTGAGACGGGCAATTTCTGTATATGCAATACAGGTGGTCCTCGACTTACAAACGTTCATTTAGTGACTGTTCAGAGTTACAAGGGATTAAAAAAAATGACCTATGACCGTTTTTCACACTTATGACTGTTATCATTGATGCTTGGCAACTGGTTCAAATTTATGAATTGTTCCTAGGGTCACGTGATCTGCTTTTGTCAAGCAAAATCAGTGGGGACTCCAGGTTCACTTAACAGCTGTGGCAAGAAATGGGGTGAAATGGGGCAAGCTCACTTAAGAAATATTTCAGGTAGCAACATAAATCCCCCCCCCCCTTGCGGTGGTAACTCAAGGACTACCTGTAACTCAAAAGAAAGGCTGGGTCCCATTTTCTGGATTGGAGCAGCCAGCCAAGAAAAGCCCAGACGGATCTTTGTCCAAGCCATTAATCTTCTCAGCTAGAGATCTTTTTTCAAAAGGGTTTCAGGCTAGAGGGGGCTCCCAAACAGCTTAAATTGTACCAGGTCCTTAAATAAGGTGTCACAGGAGGCTTTTGCCTTCTTCCCTGGGCCTTCCCCCCCCTCCCCCCCCCCGCTTGAACTATCCTGGCCCTGAAAGGCTGGCAGTTTCACTACCCAGATCATTGGGGGAAAGATGGGTGGGGGCCAAACCCTGCTTTTATTTCAGCTCCTGCTGTTAAGCTTCAAATTACCTAAATAGATTTGTCAAAACTTGGTCATTTTCATGTCATGGATCTTTGCAGACCTTTTCCAAAGTTCTACAATTATCTGATTATCTTAATCTCTTCTGCTAAAAATTAGTTCTCCCGGTCCTCCTCTACTGCTATTCTAATTTTCCTCAATTATTCTTGAAATAGGATGCTCAGAAACGGTATGGTCGGGCTAATGCAGAATAACTGCTCCAATTGGTGTGGAAACTATATTTCTTATGATACCATTTGCTGATTCATATATCAAGCATATCATTACCAATCCCTTATCCCATATAGTACCAGCTATATACTACATAGTGTGGCTTTGTACCGTACAGTATCAACTTTGTTAACTCCCAAGACTCTTTTTTCCGCTATGTATTCAAAATGGGCTGTGATTAACATACATATGTATATGTAATGGGTGTGTGTATGTACATATACATACATACACACATATATTACATGTTTGTGTGTGTGTGTGTGTGTGTGTGTGTGTGTGTGTGTGCACGTATGGTTATTTTGTTTTGAGAGCGGGTATCAGACTTTCATTTTTTAATGTGTGCCAGTGTGTTCACAGAAAAAAAGTGGCAATAATCTTATTGTCTTATCTTATCACATAGTGTATCGTGTATTTGATTTATTTTTTCCTAAAATAAATCAATAAAAAGCCAAATGTTTCATTTGTGTCCTAAACTGTATTCTGTACTTTGCAGTCCATTCTCTAATCTTACAAACATCGGTTTGAATTTGTTTTCCACATCATTCTGCATTATCTGCAAATTAGAACCACTCGATATTTCAGTTCAAACGGATGGGGGACTGTCAGGGAGGGATTTTTCAGCTCCGAGTAGTATTATGTGGAAGTGCCAACCTTTGTCATGATGCCATTGGCCAAGATTATTGAGTGAAAGATGTCTGTAAGCAAAGGTGGAGAATCAACTTTCTCTCTCTCTCTCTGTCTCCTGCCTATCCAGTTATCCATCTACCTGGGAAAGCGAGACTTTGTGGATCATGTGGAATCTGTGGAACCTGTCGGTATGTGATTTGCTTTAAATCCTGTTAGTGCTGATTGCATTCTACAGATTCTGCAATGAATTAAATCATTCTGCTTTCTCCCTGTTACCTGTCACCTCCTTGCCATCTTCTGCATTAGTGAATTCAACACTCGCTTGACATTTTTCTTGTTTTTGCATAATGAAGTGTTTTTTTTTTTTAATAAAAAGGCATTTGTTGTAAGCCTTCATTCTGAGTCTTAGCTTTCTCGACTTTGTCCTAGCAGATTTGGGCTATTTGCTGATACTCTGTTTTAGTTATGTGTTCCTCTTTCCATTTTTGTATACCTTTCTTTTTTGTCTCTGAGGTTATCAGGTTATCTTTATGCTTCTTGATTCATCCTAGGACTGCATTGGCTTTTTTGGCAGCTGCAGCACACTGCTGGATCATACTTAAAGGGTGTTCTACCAGGACACATGGATGCCTCTCACAGTTACTGCTGTGATTTAATTTGATTTTGTTCAATTTCCTGTGCCTGCCTTATGTTGAATTCCAATGTGATATGGTCACTTTCCCCCAAAGTCCTCACAACTTCAACCTCTTCTGTCATTTCATCTGTTAGTAAGAATTAAGCTCAGTGTAGCTAATTCTCTAGTTCCCGCCTCTATCTTTTGGATGACAAAGTCATCTGCTAGGTTCATCAGGAACCTATTTGATTTTCCACTTGGTGCAGAATGTGTCTCCCAGTTGATGCCAAGGTAGCTAAAGTCCCCTATTACTATTGTAGTATGCTTCTTGGTCACTTTAGTTGACCAATTAGCAAAAGGTTCATCTGTTTCCTCTGCTTGATTGGGTGGTTTGTAGTATATGCCTGTGGCAATGTTGTTCCTTTCTCCTTTTATATGAACCCAAATGTATTCAAGGCTTAGTTTTTGGAATTTTTATAGAGAATTTCTTACACATAATGTGACTCCAGCAGCTCCTCTTTTATTAGGTCTATTTCATTTGAACAATCTAAACCCTTCTAGCAGCATGTTCCGAATACGGGCTTCGTCCTACCAATTTCCCTAATGACAACAGTGTTATAACTGCCATCATGTAGTAGGACTTCAAGCTCACGCTGTTTATTACTCACGCTTTGAGTGTTAGTGTACAGGTACTCAATTATTTTTGGCTGTCCCTGCATTTGCTTCCTGTGTTTCATTTTATGATCTTTTTTGCCACCGTTGTTAAATGAATCACTGCAGTTGTTAACCATGGTTTAAAACGAATCTGGCTTCTCTACTGACTTTGCTCATCAGAAGGTTTCAAACGGGGATCCCTTGACCCTGGGACTCTGCAGCCATCATAAACAGGAGCCAGTTGCCAAGCATCAGAATTTTGATCATGTGATCGCAGGGATGCTATAATGGTTGCAAGTGTGAAAAATGGTTGCAGGTCATTTTTTTCCAGTGCCATTGTAATTTCAAATGGTCACCAAGTCAAGGTCTCCCTATACTTGACTGCTGGTCTTGAGGTTTATGCTTGGGATGAGGTCCTAAGGATTGGTCTCCTTCCCCTTCCAGGTTTGGTTTAAAGCCTTTCAGATTAGCCAATCCAGTTGTTTTCAGAAAGCATTCTTCCAGATGTTCTTAATAGAGGTCATTTAGACCAGATGTCTCCAATTCTTCGGGCTCGGCAGATAGGTGGACACAGTGGTGGTGGAGAGGGGGTGGGCAGACAAGCATGTGTGCGCTTGCCGCTTTTACAAATTCAGCATTGCATGCACACGCACACATGCTTGTCTGCCCACCACTTCCGCGGCCAGGTTCCAAAAGGGCCCATGGCCTGCCAGTGGGCCTTGGATCAGGGGTTGAGGACCCCTGATTTAGACTGTGGTCTGGGTTCTCTCCGTGGCATCATCCTTTAAGTGTTTTATTTTAAAAGGTCTCTGATCCCTCATTGGATGTTTACCTTCTGTTGGAAGTACAGATGAAAACATCGCCTGTATTGCCATTTCTTTGGCTTTCATGCCTAGCTGTTTGTAATCTCTTGTTATTGTTTTCAGACTCTTTGTGGTGTTATTGATCGCCACATGAAAGAGGAGAAAGGGATGATCATCTATGGGCTTAATTATTTTAGTAACTCTTAGTTGTATCTTTGATTTTTGCTCCTGGGAGAAGCATACCTTCCTTGATGAATTGTCCACTCTACAAATTCCATTCCTTTGAGTGATGAGTCTCCTAGCACCAAGAGACACCTTTTTTTTGAGGCGGGGGGGGGGGAACGTAGTCTACTTTTCTTCCTGTCACTGGTACAGTTGAGGATGTCCCTTCTCCAGATGCCTGCACTTTATTCCAGGGGGAAGGAAATGAAATTAATCTCTTTGGTCCAGGGAAGCTGGCTGGACTAGATTGGATTGCTTAATTTTTCCCCTTCTATGAGTGACATGTCTCCATCAGTCTATGTCTAAGGGTTCTTCTTTTTTTCTTTTGGTAGTTAGTTGTTCCTTAATGTGCTCAGTTCAATTCCAGTCTTCTTACTTTAGACGGAGTTTCTCAATTTGTTGCTTGAATCTCAAGAGTCTCAGCTAAACCTGCCTCTAGATATATTCCTCCACAAGATATAATAAAAATGTAAAAAATAAAGGAAGTTTGTTATTTATATACATTGATGTAGCCCAAGACAATTCCTCTTCACTCAGTGCAGCCCAGGCAAGTCAAAAGGTTGGACGCCCATGGCCTAAACCTTTACATTCTTGTCTTTTTTCTCTTTGATTTTTTTAAATCTATACCAGTAAATTCATCCCTGATAGACAACACTATATCACCTTCTCTTATTGTATTTGTTTCTCTCTGCTCCCATCAGTCCCAATGTTCCCATGAGATTCTGGCATCCCGACTTGTTCATTTTTGCCTTTTGGCCTTATGATGTCTGCTCATCTTGCTTGTTCCCATACGCTGTGCATTCATATGGAGTCATTTAAGATCACAGATCGGAGTCTTTGCCTTCAGCCTCTCTTTTCTTCTAAGCCTGTATTTCCATTCTGTCTTTGTGGAACTCATGCTCTGCAAAACCCATGGCTTTGTTGCTGCATTCAATCCATTCTTTGCTATAACAACCATCTTAGCACTCCTTCCCCCTTGACCCCAACCTGAAGCCCCCCTAACCAGGCCACAGTGCTTTCAGATATACCTTTTCTCTCCTTGGTGAGGTTAACGGGGGGGGGGGATTCATCATCCTCCCTGAAGTTTGTAATCCAACATCTGTTGCTTGCAACCAGAACGCACTTGTGTTGTCTTCCCTTTTTCGTGCTGGATTTCTGCTTTCAACAGGCGGAATAGGTGACAAAACCACCTGGCCTCCAGGGACCCCCATCTTCCTTTGCAGAGCCATGAAACTGGCTGTGGGGTTTTATTGGGATGCCTGGACAGCCTGCACCATCTTCATGCTGGCTTTTTTTTTTGTTCTGTTTTTTAAACTGGGTTCTGTTATATTTTTATTTCCAGATGGAGTGGTTTTGCTGGACCCGGAAACTGTGAATAACAGGAAAGGTATTTTCTTGTTTCTTTTTCTCTCTCTGCCCTCTTCAGAAACTTTATTAATTTATTTAGCAAATTTATAAAGCCACCCATCTCACTGGACATGACTCTGGGCAGCATACAGCAAACGCTTCAAGCAGCAAACATAATAAAACACTTGATCAGCAAGATTGCAAGAGAATAACAGCCATCCAAGTACAATCTAGACGTCTCTCAGCTCCCCGTGGGATCCTCGTGGTTGCTGGAGAAAACAGCTGTTCAAGTCTTTTCGAAAAGCTAACAGGGATGTTAACAGGGATGTGGCTAACCTCACCTCAGGGCGAATGATAATCCAAAGGGTGGGAGCCACCCTTGAAGAGGCACTTCTTCTAGGTTCCATCAGATGGCAGTTAGCAGACAGGACCCACATCCTTCCTGCTGGATAGGTATATGGAATTAGGGAGGGGCGGTCCCTCAAATAGCCTGGTCCCAAGTCAGGCTAGAGGCCAAAGCCAGCACCTTGATTTGTATCTGGAAGCAGACTGGAAGCCAATGAAGCTCATGAAACAGAAGTATAAGGTGTCCTAAGGCAGGGGTCCTTAATCTTGGCAACTTGTGGACTTCAGCTCCCAGAATTCCTCAGCTAGCTTTGCTGGCTGAGGAATTCTGGGAGTTGAAGTCCACAAGTCTTAAAGTTGCCAAGATTGAGGACCCCTATCCTAAGGGCACATGGAACTCGGCACTTGGCACCAGTTGAAACTTCCAGTTACTCTTCAAGGGCAGCCACACGTAGAGCACATTACAGTAATCCACGGTGAAGGGGATCAGGGCATGAAGGACTGTAAGTGGAGCCTCATGGTCCAGGAAAGAGCATAACTGGCCCACAGTGTGAAGCTGCACAAGCCACAACTGTCACCTGCTCCTCAAGCAGGAGTTGTGAGTCCACAAGGACCTCCAGATTGTGTACCAGGTTTGTCTGTGTAATGGAATGTATGGATGACCTTGGGGGGTGAGGGGAAGAGAAGAAACAAGAAACAAGAAACAATCAGACAAGAGAAGCAGGAGCCCCCAGTCACTTAATGGTCAGGGAAAGAACCTTAGGAAGGATCCGCCCCAAGGGATCAAGAGGGTTAAAACTATTGTGGGAAGTTGGTATCTTCATACCTGCAAGATGATGTTAATGTAGCCCTATAATAAAGTAGAATTAGCTTATGTGGTTGAGTTCCTGTCTGGTTTACCAGTCTGAGGGAGTTCCACCACATCCAATACCAAAGATATTTGGTATTTGCTACCAAAACCAGCAAAGATCCAGAAGGCCCCAAAACCAAGAATCAATTTTCAATTTGAAGCCTCTTTCTCATCGAGATCCCCCCCCCCCAAATCCCTAGGCACCAGGACCAGATCAGACTTAGTTCTCGCAAGGCAGAGGTATATAATTGAATATCATCAGCATAGTAATGGTACTTTACCCTGTGGCAGTGAATAATCTCACCCAGTGTCTTCATGTAGATGTTAAATTTGTGATCCATTGTCTTCTGGGAGTCCCAATCTTCCAAACATGACAGTTCATGAAAAAAAAATCCCTACTTTCTGATTTTTACTAAATATAGCATTCCTGGTCTCCAAAATGAAATTAACTACCTGAATTAGGAAACTTTTTATTCTGAACTAAGGGTAATTGTGTTCTTTTCCCCCTTCGTTTCTGTACCTAACCCTGCTTACAAGCACTCTCTTGTATTTTGTATTTTTCTCTGCTCTTTTTTTGTGTCCTTCATCTTCTGACGGTCCAGTCTATGTGACCCTCACATGCGCGTTCCGGTACGGTCGAGATGACCTGGATGTCATTGGGTTGACCTTCAGGAAAGATCTCTATCTCCTCAAAACTCAGCTTTACCCACCAGTGCCGGACCAGGTTCCGAAGACCCTCACACCCTTACAGGACAAGTTGATCAAGAAGTTGGGAGAACATGCTTACCCTTTCACCTTTGAGGTATCTGGTGATTTGTGAGGCTTCCCTTCCTCCTTCCGTCCCACAGCCACAGCTGCTGCATGTATGGGCTGCCCAATGGCTATGGGTGGCATCAGAAACTTCTAAGATGTGGCTGTGGGCTAACCATCAACTCAAATTCTTCCTATGTAAAGCAAAAGATTGAGGTTGTAACTGTTTTTTGTATTCTACTGGATGGAAAAAAGTCAGAAGTCACTATATTTTTCTTCCTTCTTCAGTTCTTTCTACACTTCTCTTCTTTCTAACTTTTTAAGAGTTAGTTTTTAGGAGTAAGGTTGGTAAAAAGAGGAGCCAGACTGTTGAGGGGCAATATGATGACTCTATAAATCGCTTAGAGACGGCTGTAAAGCACTATGAAGTGGTATATAAGTCTAAGTGTTATTGCTATTGCTGTTTTTCAATTTTTATATCTATTTGTATTTTATCTTACAGTGACTTTTAATTTAAAAGGTGAAAACACCCTCAAATGCCTCTCACATTCTTTTATTCCCCTCACCCCCACTATGACTGTGTTGCCTTGGGGATTACTGTTCTCCCTCTCCCCCCTCAATCGTTCAGGGACTTTGCTGAAGATGTGGTATTTCTTGGTGTTTTAGCAAGGGAGAAGTTTTAGCTCTGTGTGTCCTCATTCCTGGAACTCTCTTCCGGATGGTTAGTGCATTTTGTTTTTTGTTCCCACAGATGGCGACCAACCTGCCCTGTTCAATCACGCTGCAGCCGGGACCAGATGATGCTGGAAAGGTGGGTGGCAGCTTCGTGTCCGGATTTCATTCTTCTCCTGTAGGGTGGGTCACCAAGCTGAGTGCCAGCCTAGGGACTCCTAGGGCCTCTCTCAGTCTTGGAAGCCTCAAGGCTTCGGTTTCTCAGGCTGACTCACTTCCAAGCTGTAGTCCCAGGCCCATCCTCTGAGCCCAACCAGTTTCCCTGGGAGCTGCCTATCTGCTTGCCTGGTGCCTTGCCTGGATCCTTAGCTCTGCTTCCGGTTTGCCCCAGTTGTCTCAAACTATCATTTTTTTTAAAGGTTTCTCAGATGATTAGTTCTTTTCCATCTTTCGCTGTATCTCCTTTGTCTTTCTTGCATGAGCTGCAGTGTCTCTGGAGCAATCACTGCTAAGTACAAAAGGAATGAAGAAGCAGCAGAGAAGGTGGCACCGCTCTCAGGACCCCATTGCTGGTTCTGGGTAGCAAATAAGAATCTGATCTCTTCTCTAAGTGTTGTCAACGCTGCTAACATTGGATGTTCTTGCTTTGACAACAGATGGAAATGCAGCCATTTGCCTCTATTGCTTTTAGAGTTCGTTGATGCTGGGTGGGGGAATGTGGATGACTCCAGCTAGTCATAACAATAATAATTCAGCCGTGGGCACTTCGAGCTAATTGAGGAATGTGATTTATGACTGTTTATTGGAGGAGGGAATTGCACTTTGTTACTTTGTATCCAGGGGAGGAGAATTTAGTTTCTGGTTTCAACAATACTTTGTTTCTCGAATAAGGTAAGCAATGCCTCAAAGTTCTTTTGAAGAGTTTCATCTGTCAGAACCATGACAAGTGTATTTTATCTGTGGCTGCTTAGAATCATAGAGGGCTCGTCTTGGAAGGAGCTGACCCTCTAGTCCAGTGGTTCTCAACCTTCCTAATGCCGCGACCCCCAACCATGTGGTCGTCAGTCGAGGACTACCTGTATTTCTCTGCAGGCGGGGTAGGAGGAGGCGCGCACGCTCTGCCTCCTCTCCTGCAGCTGGAGCACATGCTGGGCAAGCCGAGGGTGCACGCTGGCCGTCGCCCAGCAACCGCCTCAGCCCGGGAGCACCGCGCATACGTGGTGCCACCCCCTGCGCCGGCCGAGGCGTAGCTGGCAAGCGTCAGCAACAGCGCAGGCCGACCATCGGTTGGGCCACCAGCTGGCCCAGCCCAAGGGAGGTAAGCCACCCGCCGGGCCTCACGCGCGCCAGCAACCCTCCCTGCACCCTCCGCTGCCCCGATAGGCTTACCTTGGCCACCGCACGTTCGGTGCGGCGGCAGGCAGGCCCAGGTGCTCCTGGGCAGCCATGGCACGCAGCAGCGAGGGCGCAAAGCAACCACTGGCTGGGCCACCAGCTGGCCCAGCCCAAGGGAGGTAAGGCACCCGCCAGGCCCCACGCACGCCAGCAACCCTCCCTGCGCCCGCCGGCCTCCCACCTCCCAACCCTGGCCCTCTTTTACTTACATTTAGTAGTTGCTCAGCAGGGAGGGGTGGAAACGTCCAGAAAGCTCACTTTCGCTGCAGAAAACTTGCGGCACCGTTTGCAGAATGGGACTTTTGGCGGGCTCAGCAGGGCAGAGACAGCCTGGACAATTCCTATTGGCTTTTGAAAGCCAATAGAATTAGACTCTATTCAAGAGAGTCTATTCTATTGGCTTTCAAAAGCCAATAGAATAAAAGGGAGTAGCATAGCTAAGGAAAAGGGGAAACAAAATGGCGGACTGCATTGTTTGGCGACCCCCGTGAAATGGTCGTTCGACCCCAAATGAGAACCACTGGGCTAGTCCATCGCCTGCCTAATGTAAGAATGTCATAAAGGTGCTTTTTCAAGAAACAACTGGACTTTGTTTTTCTTCTAATACCTTTCGCTTCTCATCCAAGAAATTCTTCTGAGAACTGAAGAAGCTTCTTGGATGAGAAGCGAAAGGTCTTCAAGGAAAAACAAACTCTGGTCACTTTTTGTAAAAACATCTTTGGAACAACTGTGACCTGGATGACTGAGACTCTCTATAGATGTAATGCAAGAATCCGTCCTGGGGATTAGTCCATCGGCCATTGCTTCTCATCTTCCTGTGGCCTATTTTATACTATGTCAGTTGCAACCTAGAATAAAGGCTCCGTAACGGGGACTTTTAAGGGGCTAAAATTCCCCTTTTAGATTTTTCTTATTGATAATTGTAAATAAAGGCACCATTTGCCTCCAGTCAACTTGTAACTTCTGCTCTTTGTGTCTCCCCTAGTCCTGCGGTGTGGACTTTGAGGTGAAAGCATTTTGTGCTCAAGACGTGGAAGAGAAAATTCATAAGAAGTAAGGCCAACATATTTTAATATTTATTGAGGTTAACGTACAGTTATTTTGCTTTTCAACTGAAAGGAAATCCCCATCATTCATTTATTTCTAAAGTAAACATTTTTATAGGATGTAAGAAGATAAAAGCGACAGGGCCCTTGAGAAGTTCAAGGGAGCCCTTGGCAGGGGTCCCCCAACACCCTAAGTCCTCCTTCTCTCGACTTCCTTCTTGCCCTCATTCTCATGATTCTTTACCCTCAGCTGTATTAAATCTCCAGAAAATAGCCTTTTTATTTCTGCTTCTTATATTTTATAGTTCTTATATTTTAGTATGAAACTTCACTGAAAACCGTATCCTCTTAACTTCCATCGAAAGCTCAGTCAGACCCTTCAGGGGAAGAACCTTCCAGAATTGCAAAAGGTTCAGCGCAAAGGCACTGGGGTTCTCCAGGCAGTGCTTTCCGACACCACCAAGAGGAGATGGCAGGGAGCTGACGGGCAGCAGGGAGAGAGCAGAACTGCTTAATTTTTTCTTTGCATCTGCCTTTGTGCAAAAGGAAAAAACAGTGAAAGCTGTCAAAAGCAGCACAGTGTGGGACAGAATAGGAATGCAGATCAAAATAGGTAAGGAATTGATCTGCTTTGGATAAGTTCAGATCTTCTTCGGATGAGTTCAAATCTCCAGGATTAGATGTACTGAAGAGCTGGCAGATGTGATCTCAGAGCCACAGAACAAAATCTTTCAGGGCTCCTGGAGCACCGGGGAACTGCCAGAGGACCGGAAAAGAGCAGATGTGATTTCAAGTCTTCAAAAAAGGGGCAACAAAAGAGGATCTAGGAAATTACAGAGCAGTCAGCCTGACATCAATACCAGGGAAGATCCTGGAAGAGATAATCAAATAGTAGATTTGTGAACACCTAGAAATGAACAAGGTGGAGAATAGAATAGAATAGAATATAGAACAGAGCAGAACAGAACAGAACAGAGCTGGAAGGGACCCTTCTAGTCCAGCCCCCTGCTCAAGCAGGAGACCCTATACCTTTTCAGACATGTGGCTGTTCAGACAAGTGGCTATTTACACAGTTTTGTCAACAGGTCATGCTGAACAAACTTTATTATCTTTGATAAAATGACTAAATTAGTATCCATCACTCCTGGAGTTGTTGGTGCTCCATTGCTGGGGGCTTTCAAGAAAAGATTGGATAGCCATTTGTCCAAGATGGTGTAAGGACTTCTGCTTTGGGCGGGGCCTTGGAATAGAATCCTTCAAGCATAGGGCTGGAAGGGACCTCGGAGGTCTTGTAGTCCAGCTTACGTGAGAAGGTAATTTGAAGCTTCTTCTGGGACATAAAAATCAAAGTGAGAAAAAAATTGTGCCCTGATTTGCCAGGATATGGTATTTTGCACAAATTTTATGGGCCGTATGGTCTTCTATAAGGTGTCTCCATTTTTACCACCAACATTTTATTGAAAATATCATAGTTCATTTTTGCTGGAAGGGGAGCACTCTGGAGTAACGGGCGCATGGTAGTAAATATGCCCTCCCCTCCTTCTCTTCCTGGAGTACAGCTGCTCCTACCACCCCATCTGAGGCGTCAGTTTGCACCACAAAGGGGTGGCAGGGATCAGGGTGGCAGAGGAAGGGTGATGTCAGGGTCAAGCCCAAAGACGACAGAGTGAAATCCAACCGAGTCCACTCCTTTGTTTGCTTACACCTGATGGACAGAATGTTGCCAAACTAGAACTCGCTACCTTACTCGATCTATCCTCAGAGGGGTGTGGTTACCGGAACCTCCTCCCCTCTCCCTCCTCCAGCTTGGGACTGCGGGCATCTCTTGGGTGGCGTATGCCAGCTCTTGCCTGGGAAAGCTCTGAGCTGCCCCTCCACTGCCTCTCCAAGTGCATATTCCATCACAGGTCGAGAAGCAAAGAGCTGTTTTAACTCTCGAAATGCCACTGGCTTTTGAGTTGACCAGGAAAATCACCAGCTGTTTCTTAGGAGCTGGGACAAGGTCAGCAAAATAGGGGATGGATTTCCTGTAGAAGTTGGCAAAGCTCAGAAATCTCATCTTTCACATGTGTGTGCATGTGGAGTTTTTGTGGCCCAAATAGTCCAATTGAGACAGGTCAACTGGACATTTTTCTAGTCTGGCAAGAGCTTTTAGTCTTATAATTTTCGCAATAGATTTCTGACATGGGTGACACACAAAGAGATTATTCAGAATAAATAATATTGGTTATTTGTTAGCCAGACTAGCAGATTTGAGATAAGTGGGAGAGGATGATGGTTTCTAATTGTCACTCTGTTCAGGTCTTTGTAGTCATGAATGGCATGCATGTGGGCTGTCTTCAGAGTGATCGTTGTTTGTCCTCCTTGTGTTTGAGGATGAAAAACACGGGTGCTAATGCTGGTGAGTTTGTAGGGCAAATGAATGCTTTTTGGAGGTTGACATCCAGATACTCCTTGAGGATGGCTGACTAGTGGCTAGACATGGGATGCCATCTCTTTGTTGGGTTTTGGGCTCCTGGCTTCAAGTTGATGTTGCAATAACATACCTGTGTGTGTGTGTGTGTGTGTGTGTGTGTTATGGCCTCTTCTTTCTCCCCCAAAACATCTGTGTATTTTTCAGGCCTCATGAACCTTCCACATCTGAAAGAAGCCCCCCTTCCTTCAGTTTTATTCTCCCAGAAGCTAGGGAGGGTCCCTTTTGAGATGCTTTTGCAACCCCTCCTCCTTTGGACTCAAATTTCATTTGTCTAAACTGTGTCTCTTCCTCCTGCCTCCAAAAATCATTTCCCCTTCACTCTCCAATTCCCGTCTATGGCTACTTTCTCCTTGTTCTCTAGGTTGAAACATTTCTTGTAAGTGGGGTAAAAGGTGAAAGACAAAGGCTACGTGAAGCATTTTCAGCCCCTCTTTAGGTGGGGAGGGAGGGAGAGAAAAAGAGAAAAAACTTCATGTTTCTGATGGGTTCAACAGGCTCTGATGCTCTCTGCCCTTGTCCAGGTTGGCAGGAATAACTTTGACTGATTTTTTTTCCTATCTCAGCCTTTGGGGGACAGGATTGCTCCCTCACAAATTTTCTATCATAGTTCAAAAACCCGGCAAAACTCAAAGAATAATGCATAAGCTTTCCTTCTCCTGCCTCTCGCTTTGGCTCCGGCGTGCTCATCCCTCGTTTCCTCTGCTTCCAGGAACTCGGTGCGGCTGGTGATCCGGAAGGTGCAGTTTGCCCCCTCCCTCACGGGCCTCGCACCCAAAATTCAAATAAACAGGCAGTTCATGATGTCAGACAAGCCCCTGCACCTCGAGGCTTCTATGGATAAGGAGGTCAGTGTCCCTGCGGTCTCTTCTCAGCTGGACCTTGGTGTTGTGCTCATCGTCTCTGTCCTGGCCCCATCGGCTTTCAGCCAGGCTCAGCTTCTCTCCTTGAAGCTCTGTTTGGTAATCCCTAACAGAGGTGGGATTGTGGGAACTCTGGCTCCTGGCTCATTGAAACTGCAGGACCTTCCAGAGGATATGCATTTTTCACAGATGCTACTTTGTTACAGACTTTTTCTGATTTTATCATGTTTATTGTCTTCCTAAGACTGAATTTCTTCTAATCGTAGACTGATAGGTTTGCAGCATAGCATCAAAAGATTAGAAAGGAAAAAAGAAAGACGGCAGAGGAGTTTGCTAAGTGGTGCTTCTCTCCAGGAGAACAGGATGCTTATTTTCTATCTGATTTTAGTAATATATTGTGATTTCAGATTTATTACCATGGGGACCCAATTGGAATTAATGTGGACATAAACAATACCACCAGCAAGATTGTAAAGAAAATTAAAATAACAGGTAAGGGACAAATTAAACAAGCCATGGAAGCAGCCCATTCATGGTGGAATCAGCTATTGCCTTATGGGGTCCTCTGTCCACCTTCTTCTTTTAATCTTTTGCATCACCCAGTAATACTTACCCAGGATTCTCGTCTGCTGCACCCAGCCTTGGGATCAGACTCACACAACCCCAGCCTCTCACTGGGTGAGCATGAAAGGTTAGCCTGAATGAGAACTACTGAGTCAGATCTAGGCTGGAGGTTTTTAAGAAGAGATTGGACAGCCAGGGTCTTCTGCCTGAGAAGGAGGTTAGACTAGAAGACCTCCAAGGTCCCTTCCAGCTCTGTTATTCTGAAATATTAAACTGTTAGGGACATAGTTCACCTGAACGGTTTGGAAAACTTGTAATATCTGCGTAAAATCCCTCACTCCCTACAATCTCAGAGGACAACCACTGTGCTACTGTGTCTCCCTCTTCCTCTCCAGTCGAACAGCTGACTGACGTGGTTCTCTTTTCTCTGGATAACTACACCAAGACGGTCTGCTCAGAGGAGTTTGTGTAAGTGGCAGGTCTTTGGCTGGTGGGAGTCGAGGAGAAGAGAGGGGGGTGGTCCTAACCCTAACCCTAGCCCTAACCCTTTGCTTTGTCCCAAAACGTGTTACAGTATACGTGTTTTATTCACGTTTGAAAATGAGAGCTTGGATTTTCAGACATTTTTGAAAATGGAATCTTTATACTTGCATGTCCTAGGGAGATCTGAAAGCCCTTGACGAGGGAAATGGTCACCCCCAAATTGAAGCGGGGAATGCATTTTTTTCCCCATGAAAAAATGGAGGAAATGGCTGTTTAAGCGATCTGGTTGGTTCAGAAGCTAAAGAACGGGATTATGAAATTGCTCGCTTTGGATGAATTTGGGATAATTCCAGTGAATTCAGGAAAGGAGGGAGCAGAAGTCCCATGAAATTGTCTGCCCCGATGCCTCTGAGGGAGCCTGTCCCTCTTGCCTTTCCCAGCGCATAAGCACACAGTAAAGCCGCTTCTTTGCATGCACAAGGGGCCCGCGGGATGGGAGTTGCAGGCCTTCCTTGATTAAAGTCTATTTCTCTTCAGGGGAAGAATTATTTTCTCCATCAGTTCCAAGCTGGAGTTTTGACAATCATCAGCCGAACCCACCAGCTTCACAGACCTTGTCTTTCCTTTCCTATAGGGAGAACGTGGCTGCAAACTCCACTTTCTCCAAAACATTTGAGGTGACTCCCCTGTTGAGCAAGAATCGCGAGAAGCGTGGCTTGGCTCTGGATGGCAAACTCAAGCATGGGGACACCAACCTGGCTTCCACCACCATGTAAGAGGAAGCACTTTTCTTTTCTTTCTTTCTTTCTTTCTTTCTTTCTTTCTTTCTTTCTTTCTTTCTTTCTTTCTTTCTTTCTTTCTTTCTTTCTTTCTTTCTTTCTTTCTTTCTTTCTTTCTTTCTTTCTTTCTTATGACAGCACAGGGTGCCCCATGGAATGGAAGGCAGCTTCACTTCTTGTCTCACTGCGCTTGCTCATCAGCTCTTCCAATGTCTCCCCTTCTTTCTTCTTAGTCTGAGGCCTGGGATGGACAAAGAGGTTCTGGGCATCCTGGTTTCCTACAAAGTGAAAGTCACCTTGGTGGTATCGAGAGGAGGGTGAGTCTTTTTTCTAGAAGAGCAGCATGAAAAAGCCCCCTTTGGGTTCTGCCCCAATGCCTCTTTCTCCCCCCCTTTTCCTTGAGGAACTCAGCCCCCGTTGGCACGGAGACCTGCCCAGCCATTGCCGAGTGCTGGTGGTGGAGCTTCCACGGCTGAGAGCGGATCTGAGTTGCAGTCTTCCCAGAGTGCCAGTCCAGAGCCGGGGTCCACAGCTGGGCCTCGGTCGCCCTGCTCCCCACATGTCCCTGCCTCATATGTTGATTCTGTTTCATTTGCACACATCTGGGTGGCCTTTGGTTTGAAAGGGCATTACAATTGTTCTAAGGCTGCCAGCAGGGGGGCTCCCACCCAGTCCAGCCCAGCCCAGCCCAGCCCAGCCCAGCCCACCTCACCGAGTTGTTGTGGGGGGAAAAAAGAGAAGGGAGGAGTATTAGGGATGTTCACCGCTTTGAGTTGTTTATAAGAATAATACAGGCATTAAACAAACAAACAAATAAAATATCTCCCCTTTCATATAAGTGAAGCGATCTTTGTGTTTTCCTCATTGACCATCTCTTCTTTCCACAGCATCCTGGGAGACCTCACCTCAAGGTAAGTACTGAGTTATTGATTAAACTGAATAAACTAGTTCACTCCCAATTGTTTTGAAAGACGCCTGGCTGAAGCTTTAAGGGCCGTGCTCTGAGGGAGGCCATCACGCTGCGATATCTTTGAATTGCGTTATTGGGGTGCCAGAAAGTTGCCTTTCAATTAGAGATCCCGCTTGCACAGAAGAGCGTGAATGATTTGGGCTGTGATTCCTGGTCAGAATGTACCAAGATGTGCCGTTCCTGTCCTTCCTGTTAGCAGGGAACACCACCCGTGGCATCTATATAGTTAAGGCGAGTGACCTGGTTTAGAGTTGGCTCTTATTAAAAGGCACGACGTGAAAGCCTTGGTTGCCCAGGATGGCTGGCAGAGTTCAGTCTCTGTGGGCCCATCTGCAACCACAGCCTGGGCAAAATGGCAGCTTAGAATAAGAGGAGTAAATGCACAGAGTATAAGGAAGCCAAGAACATGACACATGTTGCGTCTGTGAGACCAAGAGACAGTGAAAGGCTCAAAAAATATTAGAAGGAAAGTGGTTTAATTTTGTGGCGTGGACTTGATGAATAACATGAATACAAAACTGTTAGGGTCATTTGGGTTGCTTGGATGTGTGTGGAAGGAGGTACAGCAGAGCTTTGCAACTGTCTGTTGGGGATACCAAGTTGGTGGCTCGTGGAGCTATGCGTGAGTCCACGGCCACCCCAGCGTGGGTGTGCTGCAATGCTTGGTACTCGCCTTGTCAAACTTACACGGAAACCGATGGGTGAAGTGATCTGGCAGTTGGGCTTAGGGGTGACCATTCTATTGAGGGCACCCAAATTTTTATCCTCACTCCAGGCTGACTCAGAGATGCTGTGACAATCAGAACCAGTGTCTGGAGATGTAATGGATTGTGGGAATGACCTTGGGGGGACAGAGGGGAAGAAATGCTGTGTAAGGAACCATCAGAGAAGAGAGGCCGGAGCCCCGAATGGATTAATGGTCAGAAGAAGAAACTTAGGAAGAATTTGTCCGAATTGATCAGGGGGTTAGTGGGAAGTTTGAGCCTTCAGACTGGCCAGGTTCTGTTAATGTTGCCTTACAATAAATTAGCTCATCTAGTCCTGTTCCCTGCCTGGTTTATCCAGGAGGGCTGACAGGGTCTAGAAGGGTTTTTAAAAAAAGGCTCAGATTAAATATTTTGAAGGTTAACTTGCTCTTTGTCAATAAATACTGAGGTGATCTGGAAACAAAGGCCCAGCTGTGACTTTGCCTGGGGCTGCACTATCCCTGCAGGGAGTGGTCTGCAGCTTCTGGACTCATCACTCCTGCTTCAAGAGCAGATAGAAGCTGCCACTGAGAGTCCTTTGCCCAGCTCTAGCTGTGCCAGTTACAGCCCCCCCCCCATACCAGGGACACCCCTTGGTTGGATGATGGCAATGTGCTATGTTTAGGCAGCCTGAGACATCTGAAGAAGGCCTGCTGACCATCCCTTCTCATCCAGGGTACATTGGAAGTGCAGGAGGCTCCTTCCTCCCTCTCTCTCTCCCTCCCTCTTTCTTTCTTTCTTTCTTTCTTTCTTTCTTTCTTTCTTTCTTTCTTTCTTTCTTTCTTTCTTTCTTTCTTTCTTTCTTTCTTTCTCCCTATGACGGCACAGAGTGCCCCATGGGATGGAAGGCAGCTTCACTTCTTGTCATCAGAACTGCAGAAGCCTTCTTTTCTCAACCTTCCTTCGGCTCCAGCTGATTGGTCAATGGGCTTTCCTCCAAGAATGTATATTTCTGTTGTATATTTCATTCATTTTTAAGAAACGGTATTATTGGGTTTCTTTTTATTCTGTTGCTTAGGGCCCAAGGCATAAGATTGACCAGTTAACAAATACTTAAACAAATACATATGTAAAAACTTAAATGAATCTTGCATTAAAAAAACTTCTGTGCCTCCTTTGGGCAATTTGATGTGGTTTCTTTTTCAGTGACGTCTCGGTTGAGATGCCGGTTATTCTGATGCATCCTAAGCCCCCCGAAAGTAAGTATTGCCCAGACAACACCCTGCCTCGCTGTCTCAAGATATGACGACTTTGGAAAAATGCCAGACTGTGGGAAACGCTCCAGTTCCCAAAACTGGAACCAGCCACAAGGCCCCCGATCAGTGCTGGGAGACATCCAGGGGCCCCTAATGGAGGGGAGGGGGATAAGAGCACCCCACCTCCCCCAAGGGCCCAAAGCAGGCAGCAAATGTCTGCCTTTGGGGGAGATTTCATGCTGCTCGCAGAGAGGGACACGGGAGCAGGGCTGCTTACAGAGATGTGCTTTTCCCATTCGTAAAACCAACAGGACCTGTCAACAACTCTGGCTCATGCGTCCATCAAACTCTCTGATCCATTGGATCCAAAGGATCGCTGTGACACGCTATAGATTACTGGCTCTCCCTTTTCCACATCTCTGCTAAAAACACATCTAGATATTCAGCCTTTTAAATACACAGCAGATTTTACAGGAAAAACAACAACAGTATTTTGGCTAGTGAAAAAAAACAAACCAAAACCCACTTTCAAGACTTTGCCATCTTTTCAAAAGGGCAGGTAGGGGCTCCCGAAGCCAACCTGGGGGATCGGAAGAGACCCCTGGTGAACCCCAGGCCCCGGGGGGGGGGGCTTTTGCAGCAGCCAGGAGGCCGACGGGAAGGAGCAACAAGCAGCTTCCTTCAGTTAGCAGCAACGGCTTCTCCTCATCTCCCCCCCCCCCCGGTTTCCCCCCCCCCGTCTCTTTCCTTTGTGGGAAGACTATCGGAATCCCAAGTCAGCGGATGGCTGGATTCCTCTCCTCATGGTTTAAATGCCTTTTTCATTTTATGAAAATTCGGGGAGTTGAACTCTACCTGTCTGAAAGTTGCCCAGATTGAGAAGCCCTGGTCTAAAGGAGTGATCCTCAAGCTAAGCAACTTTTTTTACATTTATGAAAATGAAAAAAAAAAACCCCAAAATGGGATTCTTTCCTCAAGCCTGCCCTTCCAACCGCTGGACCCTTCCTGATCCAATGCATGGCTCCCTCTCAACCTATTCTTTCCCCAGCAGATTCTGATCGTTTTGGTGCAGTGTGTGTGTGTGTGGGGGGGGAACCTGACAATATATTTAAATGATACCATTGATGCTCCAGAATGGAATGTTGCTGACCACCAGCACCCAAAGATAATACCTGTCCATCAACCAGCCCCCCAACAAACAAATAAACAACACACACACACACACACACACACACACACACACACACACACACCAATAACAAGAGAGTGCATCTAACCACCTGAGCCCAATGCTGGGGAAGCACCAGACCTTCCAGGCCTTGCAAAAGGCTAAATTCCTTGAATAATCTCCCTTTTCTTTCCCCGGCCCCACCGACAAGAACCGTTTTGTGCGGGGCAAATGAAATCCCATCAGCTGGAGGGCTGCACCAGGCTGAAGGTTGACTGGGGACCTTGGAAAGGGATGGTTTGGGTTTTCAGTATCTGCAACCTGCAGGCCCCCATCGGCCCCCTGACTGCCCCAACTGTCCAGTGTTTCAAAAAAGGCCTGAGAAGTTGGATGTGTGTGTGCTTGTGCCTCTCTCTGCCTGTGTTGCACATGGCCAGCTAATAGATACAGGTGGGCAGGCAGTTTTTCTTGGATAACGTTGTCATGATGAATGTGACTAAATGGTGCATGCATTTCTCTTTCATCCTCTGCCTCTTCCTGATTGACAGCAATATCCAGGTAAGAAAAGAGGGCTCCACACTAGAATTGGCAGCATGTCATTGTGGATAATTCAGTCTCCAAAATAAATTTAGCTCTGACAAAAACTGGCTGTTGTTAAGGATTGATGATTCTTCTGACTACCACAAAAACATAATTTTAGGCAATTTTACCAAACGTCAACTTCCATGAAAAATTAATTAATTAATTGGAAAGCTTATGATATTCTCGTGTTTCATTGTAGAAGGAAAATGTGATCATCTCATTGTACATTTTTATCAGCTAGTCTTTAGACCAGAGTTTCTCAACCCAGGCAACTTGAAGACGGGTGAACTTGGAATTCCCAGAATTCTCCATTGCTGACTGTTGTTCTCCATTGCTGACTGGGGGATTCTGGAAGTTGAAGTCCACCCATCTTCAAGTTGCTAAGGTTGAAAGTCTCTGCTTTAGGCCAGTGTTTCTCCACCTCGGCAACTTCCAGACAGGAGAATATTGTAAGCTTTCCAGTGGAGAAAGACTGCTTTAGACAAACCCATTCCCCTAAATTGCATTTATATAGTCTTACATTTTGAATGAGTATCTGAAATTGCTGAGTTTTGAACCAGTGTCCATAGCTGTTTCCTCTCCCATCCCCTGAGGTGGTCCCAGATCTCCTCCTGCCTGCCTGATTATGTTCAGCCCCACTCCCCCCCCCACTCATCTGAGAGAACAAGCTTCCACTGGCGGAGGAGGCCTCAGACCAACGAACCAAGATAGGGGCCTTTCAGCCCCACCTCCTTCCCGCCTCCTCAATTCTCGGTGTTTGCTTTGGGGCTGGATCTCTGGGCTGAGCAACAGGGTGTGCATGTTTGCGCATGGAACGGTGGAAAGCACGATTCACTCCTGTCTTGGAAAAAGTTCCTTGGGCAGAAGAGTTTAGGAGGGAATAAAGACTTGAATGCAAGGTCAGAGACTGATTCTACCATATCTTGGACTCTCCTTTTGAAATATTTTCCACCAATTTTCAGTGATGACATTATGGTTGAGGACTTCGCCCGCCAGAAACTTGGAGGAGAAGGGGAAAGTGAGGACGAGCAGGAGGAAGGAGGAGAAAAAAGCTAATGCTCAACTATCTTCAGCGGGGGCTACTCAAGAGTTTCAAAGCCGAGATCATTTAGGGCATTTCCATGAGTTCCGTGCATTTACCTTAATATTTCAGTGTTGTATTTGTAACGTGATAATTTCTCGTAAGCTTATTTTTTTCTCTGTCTTTAATGCATTTTGCAAAAGATTCCCAGTACTGTGAAGCTTTCCCCCCAAGCATGAAAGCGAAGGGAATGCCAGCCGTGCCCCAGATGGCTCCTCCACCTCTTCATTTTGCCTGGTTTCTTTTCCCCAAGCCTGGCCTTCCAACTGCTGGGCCCTTCCTGGTCCAATGTGCCCCCCCCACAATCGACTCTTCCCCCAGCGGATTCTGATCGTTTTAGTATGATGGGAGTGGACCTGAAAACCCTTTCCTAAGAATTATTGGCATTATGGGAAAAAGCTGATTATCCAGATACCCTGTGATCGTGTGAATAAATGTTATATTCTATCAAAATACTCTGCTGGACATGTATTTATGTTTATGTTTACTGAAGATTGACCCACTACCTCTGCGGAAGGTTGCTTCCAAACTTCTGCCACTCTTTCCGTGATATCATACATTACTTTTGAAGTTCCCTCCTGTCAGTTTGAGGTAAGGCCCCTGTGTTCTTCATTTTTGCACAATATTAAAAAGACAGTTTCTAGAACCTTATTCACACCCTTAATATATTTAAAGGTTTCAATCATGTTCCCCTTTTCCCTTCTGTCCTCCAGGCTGCAGACGTTCAATTTCTCTTATCTCTCCTAATATGTTTTGTCCCTCAGACATTGCACCATTTTTCTTGCTCTAGACTCTAGACTCGCTCAGTCTTATCAATACCTTTTAAATTGTTTTTTTTTTTTAAAAAATAATAATAAGATCCCTCTTACGGTTACTGCTGTTGAGCCAGGTACCACCCATTCTGTACCTAGGCATTTGGTTTTTCTTGCATGAGTGTAAAACCTTACTTTTCTCACTGCTGAATTGCATTTTGTTGGATATGGCCCAGGGTTTGAGTCTATCAAAGTCCTTCTGGACCTTGAGTATCTTGTAAAGTGTTGGTTATTCCCGCCAGCTTGGTGTTGTCTGTGGATTTGATGAGTTCCCCTCATTTATTCCTTTATCTAGATCATTTATAAAAAAAGATCCTTAGAGAGAGATTGATGGGGACATGTCACTCAAGGACAAAAAAAACCAAAAAAAAAAAAAAAACCCAAGCCAGACCAGGCCAGCTGCCCCACTGGACCTGAGCAATCAATCCCAAACTTTGGGTGCTCCACCGCTAGAGGTTTTTTAATAAGAGATTGGACAGTCATTTGTCTGGAATGGTATACGGTCTCCTACTTGAGCAGAGGGTTGGACTAGATGACCTCCAAGGCTCTCTCCAACTCTTAGTCTGTATTATATTCTGTATTCTGACCTGATTTTCCAGCAGATCCTTCAGGATTAGGAGTGAAAATGAGAGGAGCAAATGCAATGCAACCCAAGCCCCATGCCTCTGCCCATGCACAAAGGGCTGGGCTTCAGCTCTGCATCTGGGCGGCCAGAAAGTCTCCTCCTGAACAGAGGAGGTACGAAACTGTTTCGGATGTCTCTGTAAAGGGATTGGAAAAAAACAAACATCTCGGAATATTTCTAAAATACATTTTTTTAAAAGAGCTGAAAAATATTTGCAAAAATGTTTCCAAAGTATGAACATAACAAGTTTGTTACTTAGATAAAAATCAGAAGTTGTGAGCGCTTCATCGCTGGAGGCTTTCAAGAGGAGATTGGACTGGTCTGAAATGGTACAGGGTCTCCAGCTTGAGCAGGGGGTTGGACTACAAGACCTCCAAGGTCCTTCCAGCTCTATCCTGATTGAAAAAGAAATCACAGTGCTCTCAGCCAGGGGAAAATTGAAAAATCCAAGAGACCACCAGTTGGCCTACTAGAATTAAGAAAAAAAATCTTTGGTAAAGAGCCTCAGAATGGGATTCCAGAGAGACTTCCCAATCACAGAACATTTATTTTCATTCATAGGGTGGGCATAAAACAGTTCAAGTTCAAACAAATGCTGAGTTTGCATAGAAAGATAAGCGGCAGGGTTTACGTAGTAGAAAGAATTACAGTACCAAAGTTCCAGTGCATCTTTCTTCCTAGACTTATTTTCACCAGACCAATTCCTTGGACTTCTCACTGCCCCTCATTCCCTCAATTCAACCCTTCTCCGTTCTCCACTTGCCCGGAATTTTTAAAGGGATGGAAACGTGGCTGACTCGCGGACTTGCCATAAGCCTTAGACTGCTGTCCATTATAAATCTGAAGGTGAGCAGTCCAGCTAAACAGGCAACATTTCTTAAAAATGGCAGCTGATTCAGATCGCTGTATAAGTGTCAGACTGAAACCTGACAAAATTTGGACACCCCAAAGAAAACTCAGCCAGATACACCCGGAAGGAAGACAGAAAACCATCAGCACCAACTGCAGTGGCAAGCATTCAGAATTCCTTTTTCCAGTGAATTAATGGGATTTGCTTTCTTTCTCCGACACATCTGGGGTTGTGAGTTTTTGCCCCCGGTGGCTCTGTCATTTTCTCAATGGACAATTCCAAGCATAAAAGATGGTGGCCCTCTGGGGTCCTTAGGGGGCTAATTTCAGAGAAAGAATACAGGCAGTCCTCCTTTAGCAACAGCCTCCTTTAACAACCATCTGCAGTTAGAACAGTGATGAAAAAGCAACTTTACAACCAATCCTGACATTTTTGACCTCCTTGTGAAGCAATCAATCAATTTTGCCTTGGTCTCAGAGCAACATTTAACCAATAATGTATCAATTGCAGTTAAATAGAAATAAAAATAAAAAAGTCATACTGATAGAATAAAATAAGGTAAAATTACAGAGAATTAGTATCCAAAATACTAAAAAGTCAGTAAAGGAAAGCTGAAGTAAAGTCATAAGCGCAGTCACGGTTCCACTCAGCAACTCTTTGCTTAATGACCAAATTGTTGGTCCCTAACTTGGTTGCTAAATGAGGACTACCTGCAGCTAACCAGACTGCCCTCTCATCCACTTTTGCCAATTCCATTTTTGATTACTTACTGATCATCTCCAGCCTCAACTTTTATTATCCCAAACAAACCACAGAAGAGAGTTGAGGAATATTTTCCCCACCCGGCTGAGCTGCAGCAGATGCTGCCCTGTGACGGCCCACGAGGTTAAGGCACAGCTCGGAGCAACAATGAAAAGTCAATTGTGTGAGGTAGCTGCCCTGTCAGCTTCAACATTTATCCCCATTCTCTAAAAACAACAAAATAAACAAAGGCTTTTTTATTTTATGTTTTATTGTTATTTTAAATGTCAACTAAATTTGATGTTCTGATTTTAAATAGCATGTCAGGACTGCCCCCTCATTCCTGCTCTCTGCTCTCTTTCAGTGCCAGTCTGCCATGGGGAGGGGGCAGGGTGGAAGGGGTGTGTGTGTGACTGCTTGGGGGAAAGTGAAATGGATGGAAATAAGTCTGCTTCTCAGAGTCAGATCGCCAAGGTCATTTCCCGGGGAGAAGAATGCAGCTGAAAGACAGAGTGACGGTTTCAAAAGCATCTCATTTGAACTGACTGAACATTGGAGGGACCAGCAATGGGAAGAGCCTGGGAGGGCAATAGTTATTCCTAGGGATTTGGCGGGGGAACCTGGCTTTGCTCTGCTGTATTTCACTTGACCTTTAGTAAGCTATACCTTTCTCAACAAATGGAGTCAAGGATCGTTCTCACTTAAAGGATCAAGTTGAGGCAGGACTGGCGTAGTTCCTCTGAAAGAGATCATTAAGATCAGCTCGTTTCACAGGGTGGTGTGGCACTTAGTACCACAGACCAGTCCTGTCTCAATCTTGTCAACTTTTAAGATGTGTGGACTTCAACTCATTCTATCTGTGGTGATCACATCGTCACAAATGTCTTCAGGGACTTCCGGAAGCTAACTTCCAGAACCTCTGGATTCAGTTCTGAACAGACTCCTGAGGTGAATGAAGTAAACTCCAGACCTGTTCTGACTGAAGGTGCACCAGTGCTGAGGGAAAACTAAAAAGCCATCTTAAGGCATGAAACATCAGCCACCTCAACCACTAAGAGAGAGTGGGCAGCCCAGAAAGCCATTGGCAGAAATTCATCCAAATTTGTATAGAAAATAATTTGTCAGCATTTGAGCACTTGGCAATGCTCGCACTCCTAAGAAACCCTCTCAACAAGAGGGTGACCGGGAGTGGAGTGTCCTGTGTAGCTCCTGAGGGCTTCGGAAGAGTTTGCCTGCCTGCCTGTGACTGCCCAACCCCAAGGAATTTGCCATCATTGCCCAGGCTCCATTGCCCATCGGCCACCCATCGGGAGGCTGGTAGATTTTCTCTCAGCTACTTAAACTCCAGTGGGAGGCTGATGAATCGTTCCTCACTTGGACTCCAATGAGAGGCTGGAAATCTTCTGGTTCCCCCTCCCCCCCCCGCCACCTTGCTTGGCACTGGTGGAGACTGAGGGAGCTTTCAACTCCCACCCATGGTTGAAGTTGCCCCGTGCCTGTTACTTTCTCTCCCCATCACCAGCAGCTGCTAAAGTAAAAGGAGGGGAATAATAAAAAAAAAACAGTGCAAGAGATGGAGACGCTCTCTGTTTAGTTGAATGGTTACTTTTTGTGATCTCCTTTGTTTGGTTCTTTTTTTTTCTATTTTTCATTTTGTTTATTATTGCCCTACAAACATCCATCCGCAAGCCTCCAACAACACTGATTGCTTAATACTTTTATGTGCTAATTTAGCATTAACCACAAGAGGGAGCAAAAGACTAATTTTTAGCTATTGGCCTATTTAAGTGTAAATGAAATGCATAAAAAAGCCAGCTACTTTTTATATAGACTTTGTTTTTACATATTTTTTAACACACGTACACGGACACAACTCTATTGTACTTCCCGTGGAGATGCAAACAAACTATAAATAAATTTTTGTAAGAGGAAAAACAAAACCGTGAGGAAAGAGTCTAACAACATTGTTACACGTCTAAGGAGATTCTTTATCATCCATGCCATAATTGTCCCAAAGGTGCTTTTCAAAAGCCAGTTGGACTCTAGTTTTTCTTCTTGCAGCACATTAGATGACAGAACTAACCTCAGTCTAGGCCACATATGTGCCATGCTGGATCTCTGCCTGACCGCTACCTATTTGAAATATAATGAAGGTTTCTACAGACAATAACCTGGCTGCACCAGGGTTGACCTGTGTCCCCATTGTGGCCAGTCTCTACATGGGAGAGGTAGAAACTACAGCCCTAAACTCCTTCACAGGACTTCCACTCACTCCCTGGTATAGGCATGTGGACGATACTTGGGTCAAGATTCAAACAGATAAACCCCCAAGTAGCCTCAATGACCCTCAGAGAGCTAATGACTGGAGAACTGCAGAGAATATAATAAATCCTTCCATTCCCCACCTTTCAGTCAGAACCAAAGAAG